GATATAGTACTATTCTCCGTTTAAATAATATAAGGATAAAGCCTAGATATATCCTTATAAAGAAAATAATATTAATAAAGCAAAGGACGAGTATACTAGGTAGTAAAAGAACCTATTGCCTATAGATAGCGATATTCGTAATCCGCGTAAGTATTAGCATATATAGCGGTTTAAGTACCCTAGGCTTTCGCGAATAGCTATAGACTTTATAACGGTTTAGGCGATAAGCGTAGAGTATAAAAGGCTATTCTCGGCGGTAGGTCGTATAGTAACGCCTCTTCGGAGTCGGCTAGAGGTAAGCACGATCGCTATTTACTAGGTACTATAATTATAGTTATAGGCGGGTATTATAGACGAAGTTAATCTAATACTATTAAATAAGGCGGATAAAGCAGTAACTAGGCAGCCGGTCGAGGAGAAGGCAGTAAGAGGATAGCTTTAGGGTTTGCTAATATAGATACGGGAGGAAGAGGCAGGGTAGGAGTAGAGTTGCGTTAGGTCGTTGGGCTCTAAGGTAGCGATTAAAGCACTAAGATAGGGCATAGGGAGCTAGTTAACTATTAACGCAACGCCAACTAACTTAATATAGGGCCAAGGTTGATTAACTTAACGGAGGAAAAGCTTATTAATCGGCTAACTCACTTAACTAAGGGCTGAGGTTGAGTTAGTTGCGTTGATCGCTACCCTGGATACCGGTATTGCAGTGTATTGGACAGCCATTGCTGTCGTGAAAACGGGTTAACGATCTAAGTCCGAAGGTTACCTAGTCGGGCTGACTCTGGCAAAGGTGACTGAGAAGGATGAATAATGTTATTGTTAAGCGGTGGTATCGAACCTTCTAGATGACAACGTTATCTAGGCTGCCTGGATGGCGACATCGCCACCACAAGGCAGCCACAGGTGACAGAACTATAAGAAGTTACTTTTGGTTAGAGGAGGAAGAATCTAAGGACAAGGAACTTAATGAATTCATCACTCGCATCCTCTCTTCGCGACAATTGCCAGCGCCAATTATTTGACATGAATTCCGGTTAAAGCTCTTTCATCAACGGACATTGCTTCATCGCTGATACAGCGTAGACACTGTGTCTTCCTCACGAGACGCGGAAATCTCTCGGCCTCTGGTTTGCGAGTGGTCCTGGGATGTGAGGAAAAAAGTGGTCCTGGGATGCGAGTGGTCCTGGGATGAGAGTGGTCCTGGGAGTAGTAGTAGTAGTAGTAAGTAGTGTATTTTTCGTCCAGCGGTATCACGCCGCTCAGAGTGGTCCTGGGATGCGAGTGATCCTGGGATGAGAGTGGTCCTGGGATGCGAGTGATCCCGGGATGCGAGTGATCCTGGGATGAGAGTGGTCCTGGGATGCGAGTGATCCCGGGATGCGAGTGATCCTGGGATGAGAGTGGTCCTGGGATGCGAATGATCCCGGGATGGAAGTGATCCCAGGATGCGAACGGTCCTGGGATGAGAGTGGTCCTGGGACGGAAGTGATCCCAGGATGTGAGTGGACCTGGGATGAGAGCGGTCCTGTGACGGAAGTGGCATACCCGAAAGCAGCATGTCCAATAACGACAGAGTGCTAGTCTCAGCGATGTGTGATCAGCGGGAAATCGATCAACTAGGCCAACGAGGCTTAATTGAACGAAGGCACCACTCGCTCCCTCTGCATCATCAACAGTTTTTATTTGGTGGACACCCAATCACGGCCAAGAGTCCCGATCTTTTGGCTCTCCAAGGCCAGCCAAAAGGTCCACGCAAAGCACGTCGCCATCGAAAGCGAGCCCTGACATCCTCCCGACGAGATCGTGGGCTTGACAGCGAAAAGGTCCCCAGGTAAGCTTGGATCATGCCGTACAATAATCTGACCGGCCACGAAACGAACTGATACTTCACTTATACAGAATCTACTCAACTTAAAAGCTACTGACGAGCAGTCACCTGTAGCAGGTATAGAAATGACCGAACTTACATTTTATGAAGTCAGCTAATGACCCCAAGTGTCGTGGCCCGTGACACCCTGGCATCGCAAAATGGCAATCTCGACCCCTAATCTCCTCCTGCCTCCTTTGCTTTCTACTCTTGCTCATTCTCCACTACCTGTTATAAATGGCTCTAAAAAGATCTCGTTCGATCTAAACAGAGGAAGTAATGGCTGAGACAATTCTTGATGTCACTGAAAACGGCCTGTTACAGCGCCAGGCTTCTCAGAAATAGGGGATACCCCAGAGAACTATTTCCAGCAGAATGCGAGGTCAGTCGGCATTAACCGACCTGGAACAGCCTGGAAAACTCTTATCCAGAGACCAGGAGGCCAACTTAGTTGCATGGACTCTTCGCCAAGAATCTCTGGGTTACGCTCCGTCCCAGAGTCAAATCCGCGCCTGCGTTGTTGCCGTTCTGAAACAGCAAGGCTGCGACTCAAGATTGGGACGTCATTAGGTAGAAAAGTTAATTCAACGCCATCCGGAACTTAGAAGTCAGGTCAGTAGGCGCTAGGAAGCCAACATATTCGACTCATTTACTCCCAAAGGGGGTGAGCAGAAGGGGGGGTAAGCATGGTACTACTACTACTACCGGTACTACTAGAGAATGAAACGCAAATGCCCAGCCATCAAACTACGGTCTGCCGAACTTCTTGCTCAGCTGTAATAGCGTCCGTTGAATCTTTCAGACCTTGGGGCAGCGGCGCAATTGCAAACATAACCACTAACAACACCGAAGCAGCAGCCGATGCGAACCACCAAATCCATTGGCCTAATTTGTTTCTGACTTAGTAAAGCGTCATGTAACTTCAATAAAAGGTATGCAACTAAACAGAAAGTGATGAAACTGAACTTACCAGACAAGTCACGCCTTGCAACCCCAAATGCGAAGCATACAGCAGGGTTGAGCTGAGGTCCGGGGTATCCTGGGGCAATGCCACTCGTGGCAAAAGAAGTAAGGCCTAAGGATAAACCGACTAGAAGAGGCCCTAGACGCTGTCCATATACCATTGGCTGACGAGGATCTAGTGCTACGCCATACGCTAGAAAGAGAAGAATAAATGATGCGAAGAACTCGTTTAGGAAGACCTGACCAGTCGATATCTGAGACATGTCGTAGTAGCACCCGCCCCCACGTAAACTTCATTGAATTAGCTACCAGCGGGAATATAGAATAGCTCTGTGACGGTGAAAGTACCTTAATGATTTGCTGCGGCCCCAGACGCCAGTCAAGAGTCCGCCAGCGATGGATGCACCAGCAAGATGAGCGAGCATGTATAGAACTCCTTGACGATATTCAGCAATCGCTTATTAATAGGAGTATTCGATGCAAGCTAACCTCTTGAGAGTGGGCAGCGACCCACGAGAACGGATGAGAAGGTGATCATCGGGTTAATGTGGCCGCCAGACACCGGGGCAGTCGCATAGATATACAAGGATAAGAGTACCGCGCTTAGTATGCCAACGTAGCCGCCTACTTGTGTTATCTCATAACTCGCCAGCGTTGCAGAGATCTGTCCCGCCGTATATATGAGACATGCGATACCCATAGCTTCTATAACCTATAGAGCGTTAGTATTTCCCTATTAATATATATCGTGTGTCGGAGTGCCGATTGACCTACTGCCGATCTCCAAATTGATGAGTCCAGCCAGCCACCGAAGAGATACTCTCGGTTTTTATAATACGGCACGACCGGAGTTCTTTCCGGTCTAGCAGATGGAAGAAAGGAACCATCAAAATTCGCCAACCGTAGTTTTCTATGGATGCTGCCATGATGATGGTCTGGCTCTTCATGAGCTGACGGAGTCGTACTTTCTTTGATCAAATTCATTTTCGGGGAAGCTTGGAAATTCGGTACATTAAGCTCGCGGAGGCGGTCGATACTTCTATATTCATTTATAGACCGCCGCTCTGGTTGAGTCAAATGGAACTGTACGGAAATGTACTCTAGGAACCCACTGTTAAACTTTCACTTAATTACACTGAAGTTAGCTGCTGGCCGGTATTACTCCAAGCCACAATAGGTTGGCAATTCGTTGTAATGATTAAGAGAGACGAGAAGCGAGACTATTACTATGCCTGGTTTAGCTTACGGGGTTTCATAGTTAAAGTGCCTTTCTCTTCCGTCCATATGCTCAATCTAAAACTGCACCAAGTACTTCGTATCTGTCACAGCTAACGACACCGGACTTAAAGTTGCATGCCGCTTGCGGTTTTATGGCTTGTCATTCCCCGTCCTAAAGTAGCACGAAGTATCTATTTTTATAAGCTAGCCGAGTTTAGCTTGGCCTGCAAAAGCTCCTTCGCTACCGGCTGCCAACGGCCCGCCGCTAGATAAGGGCTTTACGGGAGAGAATTAAGCGCCAGCGTGTTACCGCACCGATCGATGGCTGTGATTTGGTGTATTTACGAGGTGTCCCTACTGCGACTGTGCAAAGTACCCTACTGAGACTGCTGGAAATAATGGGCTATAGGTGCCATGTAGAAAGGGCCGGGAAGACGTTGCTCTTCCTATCGTACCGTGCAGAAGGCTCTATTGTGGAAGTAGTCTAGTGACAGCCTCAGACAAATGTGGCTCCATTAATGCCCAAGACCTGTCCAGACACCCAAGCACTATTTTCGCCCGAGAGAAAACGAACCACTCTGGCAATTTCACCTGGCTCTCCAAGTCGATTAAAGGGGCTGAACCCCTTGACCGTGTTTACAAGCCCCGGTGATTTGCCCTTGAAGAAGAGGTCGGTGCCAGTTGGCCCAGGAGCCACAGCATTCTGTCGCGAAGAACGTCTCTCGATTGAGTCAGCCGGGTCACACATGGGTAGCTGGGCCAACAAGGGAGCTGTCAACCAAGTCAAACGAGAGGCTGGAAAAGCTGCTATTTGAGACTGGAACGTCTCCAGTCGAGAGGCTGGGGTCACCCAGCCTCCCTCAGCCCATTACCTATACTACGAAAGAGGGATATAAATAGGGGCTTGGGTTTAGGTCAGAAAGAGAGGAGGACGGAGATACGGAATACAATGCAACTACCTCATTACTACATTATATGCCCTTTCTGCTGACTTTCTTCGTGAGACATTCACCCGGATGCCTTTACTTGCTAGCCCCTTGGATAGCACGCGAGTCATTTGATCTATAGCACCTTTGGTAGATGCATAAAGCAGGTAGTTCGGCGCCACCGCGGTGCTGCGGTTAACGCCGGTCGAGACGAGGATCACGGACGATCCGGACGCCATGTGGGGAGCAGCTTTCTATGACAGAACGGCGTCAGAGACGAGTGAAAAAAAGAGGGGGGGGGGGGACTTGTGATTGTGCAAAGCACGACAAACAACTTACCTGCACCAGAAAGTAGGGTCCCTTTACATTCATGGCGAAGGTCTTGTCAAAATCGGCCTCGGTCGTGTCCTCAACTGTGCGCATTGGCATTATGCCGGCGTTGGCCATGATAGTGTCAAGTCTGCCAAATTTAGTCACTGCGGCTTCGACGAGTTTTTCAAGGTCGGAAATTTTGGACACATCGGCTTGTACAGCGATGGCGCGTTGGGCTCTGATGCGCTGGACCATGCTATTAGCAGAAGCCGCGTCGCTATGGTAGTTGATGACTATCGAGGCTTCTTGCTCAGCCGCGTGGTCGGCGCAAGCTCTTCCAATGCCATTCGAGGCGCCAGTAATAAGGATAACTTTTCCTTGCAGAGACATTTCGTAGCACAGTAGCGGGTATTAATAGATGAAGTCAAGGGGAAGATTGAAGACTTGACGACACAGCTGTACGTTGCAGACGATATTGGGTAGTTGGAGCGGAGGAATCGAAAGCCACTTCTACGGTTTATTTTTTACTATTATATAAATTAGATCATTACTATACTTTTAAACATGTTATGAATATGGGTTTCCTAAATTTCGTAGTAGCAGCTAGAGATAAGTCTAGGTACGAATAAGATGCGGCGCGCATGAGCTCTTTTTAGCTCATTTTTTCGCGAACTAGAACCGCCCGAACCGAACGTTAAGCCGAAGAATAGTATGGAAATCAGTTATCTGCTTTCGCTGTGTCCGGTTTTAAGCGTTGGAGTATAGTTCCTTAAGGTATTGGACATTTGGACGATGGACGTCATCAGTTAAGCTAGATCCTATAGCCCTTAGTTACTTAAACCCTTGACTATAGAATTTAGTTTAGTTTAGTGTATTTTCCGTCCAGCAGCTTTCGGCTGCTCGGGTCTCCGCAGGGAAGCACAGGACGTGCTGAGCTAGCGGGTGTCTACATGCTACATATCGTACACTTCACCCACTATCCAGCATTTCATCGGCTCAAAGGCGCTCATGACAAACCTGATACTGACGTCCAACCTTTGGCAGCCGGTTGGCCTCTGCAACGGCGCACGTGGTACAGTGTACGATATCGCCTGGGCGCCTGGAGCTGACCCCATGCAAGACCCTCCCTGCGTGATCATGATGGAGTTTGACAAGTATACGGGCCCGGTATTCCTGACCACCTCAGATGGCAGGAAGATTGTCCCGATTCTGCCAGTAGACAGGGACTTCCTCGTCGGATCCACACTCTGCACTCGCACGCAGTTTCCCCTGATCATATGCTACGCCATTACGGTTCACAAGTCGCAGAGCATCACCGAAGACATGATCGTGACGGATCTGTCCTGCCGTGACTTTTAGACCGGTTTGAGCTACGTGGCCGTCTCGCGTGTGAAAACGCTGCAGGGTCTGATGCTGGATGCCCCGTTTGACCGCAATTACCTGACTTACGCGTCGCCGCCGGAAGGAATCAAGATGAAAATGAGGGATCAGCAACTTCGCAAACGACAGGTTCTCGCTCAGAATCCGTACAAGATAGGCCACGGGTCTACGTAACTCTACTTGATGGTACCCGCGACAAGAACGACACTTTCCAAGGCGCAGATAACGTAATGAATGTATGATTGTAGAGACTGTACTGATTGTTCGGTGACTGCTTAACTGTTGGCCAGACTCGCAGCCTTCGGCTGATTGTACGCCTTGCACCACAGCTCTAAAGTGCAAGGTGTGACGTAGTATTTTATACATGAATAGAGAGACTAAGGGCAGCTGCTGCCTGCAGGCAGCAGCTTGACTAGTCGTGACTGCCTATTAGGCAGTAGGCAGCACCGTGAATGAGCGTCTGATCTTGACAAATTGCCATCTAATTCTGCTTCCCTTTGCTCAGCAGGCCCTGAAGAGACTTGATATTGTTACGATAAGTAGCTTCAAGACCCTTCCTAAGTTCGGGCAAGTAACTTGGTTCAATCCATTCCGATTCAGTAGACCACTCAAACTGTGTTTTCCCATGGTCAGTCTCATATAAGCGAATTTTTACGCGAGAATTTTTTCTTTTTGGATCATCGTCAAGCACAGAATAAGAGATGCTGTGTGAGACCACGTCGACACAGTCAAGCCTCTCCTTGAAAGTAGCACTGTCCGAAAAATCTTCACCCTGGCTGAGTACCATAGTTCGGACACAGCCGATTCCGAAGCCCTCGATGCTCGAACTTACGACATACGGAGCCCAAAGCTTCACACAGCCGAAGGATGAAGTTATTGCCCAGACTTCACCGATGGGAGCATCGATGACCTCGGTCACCTTAACAAACATCGTCATTTTGGGGTTTCTTGACTCATTCTGTCAGCCATTCTGGACCTTTTTAGAGTTCAAGATCACAAGGGGTGCAGTCAGTGTTATGTAACACATACGAAGACATTTTTGTAGCAGCAGGGCTGAGGCTGTTATTGAGTTGGAGTAGTTGGTAAAGGCAGATACGTAAGGGCTTTGTGCACATGGGTTAGAGCAAGCTCTTATACGCGGAAGTTGAGCATTAGTGCCGTAAATGTTTAGTAGTTACGCCAGTCTACTATACAGATCTAGACTGCGTCGGCGGCCGAAACACGGGATAAAGGTCAACTTACGAAGAGCAAGCCTACGCCGGATCTATGCACGACTGCTTTCGTAGCTAGGCCGTCGTAAGGTTCGGGCTGCCCCTCTTTTTAAGAGTAGGGGGAATGTAGAGCAATTGCATGCAGGGAGTAGCATGGACTAGTAGAAGCGTGTTTTACAAAGGACGAATACAACGCGCATCAAGCAAGCTCCTATAAAGGCCAGTGATCTTGGCGCTACGGAAGGTCTCATTCGTGCAACACGCCTTTGCGGAGAGAAAGTCTTTTTTCTTCCGAGCACATTACCCGGCCCGCCGTCTGAGTTTCCCTGCCCAGGCTGAAATATGACTTGCTCTATTAACCCTAACCCTTTGCTGGCAGACCTACCTACACCCTCGAACGTTCTGCGGCAGAGCTAGTTGTCAGAGGAGAGCGGCTTCTGGTAGAAAAGCAGCGGGGTCATGACGTCTCTGTAGCTATCCCCACTTGGGAAACCACACGCGCCTGCTCCGGACCACCGCCGGGTCGGGCCAATATGCTATAAATACTGTTCGAGTCCCGTTGGCTTGGAAAAGAAATCTGTTCCTGCCCAAGCAAATATTACTCTTTTGATCCTTTACATTCAACGCAAGTGCTTAACCTCCCTCTTTGACTCGCACATACATACTGTCACAATAGCAATAATGCCTCAAATCATTGGCAAGGAAGTCGGTCCCGTGGGGTTCGGTCTCATGGGTAGGTCCGACCAAGCTCTGGGGTCGCAATGAGGCTTTAACAGAGCCCAGCTGACAAGGATCGAAGGCTTTACCTGGCGGCCCGAGCCCCCCCCGCTGGAGCAAGCTTTAGATGCCCTAAAGGCCGCCGTGGACTCCGGCTGCACGCTCTGGAACGGGGCCGAGTTTTACGGAACTCAGCAGTATAATACCATGACATTGCTCAACAAGTATTTTACCAAATACCCCGGGGACGCCGACAAGGTTACCCTCATCATCAAGGGTGGCATGGACCTGGCTACCCACGCACCCGATGGCTCTCCGGAAGGAGTGCGGCGCTCGCTCGACAATATCCTAAAGCAACTGGATGGGAAGAAGAAGCTCGACCTGTTCAGCTACTCGAGGAGGGATCACAAGGTTCCTTTGGATGTAACGTATGGCACAATTCAGAAGGAGTACATCGACACTGGGAAGCTCGGCGGCATCGCCCTCTCTGAGTGCAGTGTGGAGACTATCCACGAGGCCACCAAACATGCCAAGATTTGGGCCGCCGAGGTTGAACTCAGTATGTTCTCCCCAGACATTCTCCGAAACGGGGTCGTGGCGGCGTGCACCGAGCACGGCATTCCCATCACCGCATATGCGCCAATTGGGCGAGGCGTAAGCCCGCACTCCCTTCCAAGAAACGTACAAAAGTTATGTTAACGAATCTGTGTAGATGTTGACTGGGAGGTTCAAGAACGTCGAGCAAATCAAGGATCGCGGAGTCATGGCGTCATTCCCGAGATTCCAGCCAGATGCGTTCAATCACAACCTCAGGTTGGTCAACCAGGTTGAGACTCTAGCTAAAGAAAAGAAGTGTTCTCCCGCCCAGCTGGCGATTGCTTGGGTCAGATATCAGGGTAACCGGGCTGGTAAGCCGACCATTGTTCCCATCCCCGGAGCCACTGCAGTTTCTCGAGTCGAGGAGAATGGCCAAGCCGTCATGCTGGAAGAGATTGAGGTGGCAAAAATCGACAAGATCGTCGACAGCTTCGAGACTGCAGGCCAGCGCTATCCTTCGTCTTTGCCCATGGAGCAGTAATGTACATCTTCGTTGGGCTTGTAATAAGACGCAGTCTGTCGTTAATGCCTTTATGTAGACTGCTTTTCTGGTGCTTGTGATTGTTTTCTAACTTGTAGACGCTAGTCTTGCTCAACCACGCGAATGGGGTTCAGAGCTGCAGCGTTGGCATAAGCCCCCAACGCCTGAAAGAATGTGCTTCGCAAGTAGTGCGGCCAAATCAACTGAGAGGCCGGATAGCTACACGCCAAGCACGGTACTAGCTACAGCTCCTACAGCAATAGACATCTATGAAGCTTTGACGCATCTCTGTTCTAGGTAGTGTCGCGAAGACCGTGGCGCCATGCAGGCAAAAGTGGAACGCGCTCCAACAGGTGCGCTGCAACTGACACATATCCAATGACTGTTCCCGACAGGTAGAGGGTCTTACTGTTCGAATTAGAATACGTCATCTAGCAACATTTAGCTACCGATATTTCTAGGCTGCTAAGGTGCTAAATTAGGATCGAATATTGATCCTGTCTACAGTACAATGGCTTTTCATCACTCTACGTGCTAACACGGTGACATGGGGTCGGGGAAACCGATGCGTGTGTAATTTTCTTGGAGCGCGGCCTTCATACTGCTACTTTTGATGGACTTCGGCGCCCTCGTTGCACCACTGCGTGTGGTATGGGCTGTTACGGCCAGGCACATACGAGCCTTGACGGCTATAAAGATGTATTGGCACTATGAACGAAGACTCAAAGCTAAGGAGCAAGAAAGAAAGACTAGACTACACGACCGAGCTGGCCCTTATGTGCATATGCACGAGGTTACCTCAGCAGCGCTCAGGTAAGCACGAGGTCGCACGTGGGCACGTGATGCTGCTTGGGCACGTGACACTGGTGAGGTTCTGCGCTGGTGTCTCTACGCTGGCGCGCAGGGTCGTGACATGGGCCAGGTGACGACCACGTGGCTCTCCGACCCAACTGTCTCTGTAAATTGTAAACTGTCTCCGGGGGCGCCGTGAAGAGCCGGGCTGGGGGTCCGGATTCGGCAAATGCAAAACCACATCCTAGAAACCGGAGCCCAAGCGAGGTAGGTGGGGCCAAAAGGTGGGATCGGATACCAAGGAGCAGGCCTACTGGAGACAGGTCTTGTTAGAAAACTCGCGGAACATTGTTAACTATAAGAATGTAAAGAAGCATTGTTGTTCAAACAACAAGTCACTTAATGAGTATCACCTTTCTCTACATACTAGCATACCCTTCGTGAGAGCATCGTCGCGCAGTCCGGTCTAACCGAGTAGCGCCCCTGCTAAGTTAATAATATCCACTCAAAGAGTTGACTAGTAAGTAGTTGTTTGTACGCTCTGCAACTTAATTATCAGTGCTATTCGTAGAAGTCCTCAAGATAGCGAGCTGGCTGCGGAACGCACCGGTGACATCTCCTCCAACTTGGACCGCTATGGGGCAGCCCTATCGTACTGGGCCCTACCTACCCCACCCGCTGCTCACATCACATTACATTGATGCTGCAGTGGCTCTAGTGCCTTTGCCGGACCGCCGTCTATTCCGAGCGTCTGTGCCGAGGCCGCTAAACCGAGCCTTTGAGGCCCTTTGCAATTTCCATTTAGATCCAGGTGGGTGTGCTAGGCGACTAAGGTATACGTACAGTGGGTCCACAAAAGTGACGAGTAGTTTTGTGCAATATCACACCAAGCGTGCTCGTCACCTTTGTCGACTCACTGTACGTCCGGATGTACGAACAGAGTCGCAACCCACACGAGATCTAACCTAAACAGGCCCATGCATGCGATGCGATACAAGACTTGCTCAAACTAGGCTCGGTTTTCTTCTCAAACCCTGTTTCATCAGCCGTCGCAGCCCGCGGTCCCGGGGATCCATCAGCTATGCTTGGAAACTTTATTTATTGATTTGACTCGGCAAACCGTCTGCCTAGGATTTTAATGCGAAAATAACTCTAAACTCGGCAGTATAAAACACTCACTCCAACGAAACCACTCCAACCACCGTACAAAGCATCAAAGTACCAGGCGACCACTTCATCATTACACGCTTCTCACTTACGCTATCAAATCACAATCATGCCCGGCAAAATTATATTAGTAACAGGCACCTCGAGCGGCTTTGGCAACCTTGCCGTTTTGCATCTTGCCAAGGCCGGCCACACTGTCTACGCCAGCATGCGACAGCTGGAGTCCAAAAATGCTCAAGTCGCGACTGATTATAAGGATTTCTGCGCCAAGAACTCGGTTGACATCCGACCCCTGGAGTTGGACGTCAGCGAGCAAAAGTCGTCAGATGAAGCGATTAAGCGCATCATCTCGGAGAGTGGTCGGCTCGACGTCATCGTCCACAACGCCGGACACATGTGCTTCGGGCCTCTGGAGTCGTTCACGGCCGAGGAACTGGCGCGCTACTATGACATCAACACTCTTGGGCCCCACCGCGTCAACTCGGCTGCGCTGCCTCACATGCGCAAGGCTGGAACGGGCCAGCTGGTCTGGATCGGCTCCAGCAGCACCAGCGGTGGAACCCCTCCGTTCTTGGGCCCTTACTTTGCTGCTAAGTCAGGCATGGACTCTTTGGCAGTTTCCTATGCTTCCGAGCTGAGCAAATGGGGCATCAGCACAACCATTGTGGTTCCTGGTGTCTTTACATCTGGAACAAACCATTTTGCGCACGCCGGTAAGGGTTCCAAACAGGCCATCGAGAAGGCCTATTTTGAGGGGCCATACCACGGGGTAGCAGAGCGCTCCATGAAGGGTATGGAGAAGGGTGACGCGGAAGGCGATGTCACCGACGTTGCTAAGGCTGTTGTTGATGTAGTTGGTGCGCGACAAGGAAAGGCGCCATTCAGGGTCCACATTGACCCATGGAATGACGGTGCCGAGAACGTGAATAAAGTGAGGGACCAGATGCGGGTCAAGTGGCACCAGAAAACGGGTTTGGAAGATCTGCTGCAGGTCAAAGCGCCTGGGGCGTGAAGAGAGTGCACTCGAGTGTTTGTAGTGAGTTAATAGGCAGTGTTGAATTAAGCAAGAATGATACTATCATTCAGGCTGGTAAATCTATCTACTTATGTAGATGACATGTAGATGAGATAGATATAGATCTACATCTAACTACCTAAGGTCTATGTGGGTCATATATCTATCTATCTGGCTGTCCGGTAGATAGACGAAATGTAGATAGACGGCTGGGAAATTGCAGGAAGTATATATACTTTAGTATGTACTTGTTGTTTGCCGCAGACCAAAGTGCTTCTATGTCACGGGCCTAGTGCTCGACCACGGTGAATGGCGGGTTGATTCCAACTAAGTTACTGGCTGTACTGAGGGAGGCGCTTGCGTGTCGCGCGCCTAAAAACATGGGGCACTGATCATTCAGGCTCCAGTGGCAATCCTTGGAAGAGAACACCAAATTGTGCAGATATCTTCTGGCTACGTGTTCCCCTTGTGAACGTGGGGAATTCTGATTGGAACCACGGAGCGAAAGTGAAGTGGGGGTTGCGATCAGGGTGGTCATCGATACGATCGATACGATATCGATACCGACTAGCGATATCGATCGATATCGATGTGCACGAACTATCCAATTTCCCGGGCATACATAACTGAAAGAAGCAAGTCCTACCGTCATCGGTTTAAGCTAAACTCGTTTTTAGGTCCCATTTCTGAAATTATGATAATTATGCATAGTGGCTCTGTCTGGGGAAAACGGACCGGATAAAGGTCGGATTGACTACCATCGATATCGATCCTTGTATCGATACGATATCGATCAGCGGTCAAATCGATATCGATATCGACTGACCACCCTGGATTCGTGTCCATCTTTTCTCACGAGTTTCCATGCATGTTAGAGCCTTTTCCTTCAAAAACGTGCCTACATTAACATCTTCCCCAAGATCGTCCAAATATGGAAGCTGAGCGAGACCCGAACCAGAGCCAGCTATGACATCTGGCCCCTCGTTTTAAATATGCCATGCTAGGAAGCGACATTTGGCCCGTCGTACTATGCCCCCCTCTCAAGGTTAATCATTTGCCTTTTACTCCAAGGCTTGCCAACACCGCTATTAATTACTATGGGGACCGAAAGGTATGCCGGGGCTCTGCGAGTTGCAGCAGAAATTATACGTTCTAACATTACCGTAGAAGTGCAACAAGGATGTCGGTCTACTAAGCGATGACGGGGCAGGGGAGAAAGGTTCAGATTGCTGATTTCTAAAGATTCACCTATACAAATCTACAGTACGATGCTATCACGCGCCGGCTAAAGCAGAGCTCCGAGATATTTTGGAGGTGAGCCTCAGAAACGGGAGGATGCTATTACGTTAAAAGGATCCCGCCTCTCAAGTATCAAATGGCTCTTCAGAGATCACCAAATCAATCATTGGCTCTAGTTCTTCACTCTTTGCTCCGTCGTGATTGCGCCCCTATTCATTGTTCTTTAGTACAGTGCATATGTTATTCCTAAGTTTGTTCGGTCCCCTCAAAATTCGAAGTTATTGGTCGCTCTTAATTTTGATTCCTTCTCTTATGCCTCCGTGAGAAACTGGCCCAAAGAAGATTTAGGCCGAAAAGGCCTAAACTTATATCTTTCCCGTCCTTTCTCTTCCTCTCTTCGTCATTATCCTAGCTCTATCGAGCTCAAGATACGCCTTATACCCATTGTCTTATACTTCCTCAGCGGCCGGGTAATACTTTCGGCCGCTTAGCTCGATCTCGTTTTTGCCATTAAGCGAATTAGCCCTTAGACCAAGAGCTACTCCGACGCCTTTAGTGGGTGCCGTACTGCCGCCATGGCTGCACCCTGGATCCTCCAGTCTTTCCGCCGCTATAATATCAGCTGTGTTCAGGAAGCGGCATGCCTCGTCTCACTTATGCTTTTCGAGTCGTCTAGTTTCCAGTTCAAGCATAATATCATTCCGGGTCGAGCTAGGCAAGGCACTGCCAACATGCAAATAGCTAAATTTAACCTTCTCTATACCCAACAGGCGCTTCCTGAGGTCCCTAGCAAGATCGCTAAGCTTCCAAATGCCGACACGATCACCGATGGCGTTAAGAGCGAGATACTCTCTTTAGTGACGCTAGACGATTTCAACTTTGGCAGTGCCGCTTGGTTTCACAACACGCAGTGCCGCTTGGTTTCACAACACGCAGTGCAATAACACGACTGTCAAGGCCAAGCTGCGCAATTATGCTGTTGACGGCTGCCAGGATTATCTCCTAGAGTGTGTCGGCGTGTCAAGCGACGACGCCACGATTAGAACTAAGGTAAATAAGAATGTCGTTAAGGAATTGGGTGTGGCATCTGCATAGACATGTGTCCCTTTGTGGGATTGTTAAGTAAGCTATAGCTATTTTGATCTTCCTCGGCACCTCCCATTTCATCCTATAGGATCAATAATCACCGTCAGAGATCTTTCGTACTTGATATCCTGCTTTGGTCTCCTTTATGGGCTCCGGAAAGCTTATAGCGCGCACATAACGCTGCCGTTGCTTTCCTGTGGCTTAAGATAGAAAGGAAGTCGTTTCTTAAACCCGAAGGTTATATACGAAGTACATTTGCCTACTAAGTCCGACTCGGCGCGAGTGCCGAATTGATAAAAACTAAACTAAGGACCAAGCTAGGTTTACTTCTTATCTTATACCTTGACGGTGTTACCATCAGTTTGCGTTTGATTAAAGTAAAGTGTCTAACAAATAGGGTGACAAATTTCCTAGAATATTGTAACTTAGTTGATTTAGGGGAAAGCAGCTCGTAGAATGGTCTCGAATCTCTGCTATTGAAGTTCCCGTACCGAACGCCGTCAATGGTCAGCTTATAAGGCGACTTGCTAGAACCAAAAAGGTGGAAAAGCTTCGTGCGTTATCCGGGCCCCCAACACACCCCTTTTGCTCAACCCCCCTTATACTCTGCACAAACGTGCCGCCCCATACGAATCTGGCCCGCTTTACTTACACGGAATCTACTCATTTTTCGGCCTGTTCGCCGGCAGTTGCCTCTCGCATGGAAAAAATGACTAGATTCATTTTAACAATGCCAGTGAGTTAGGCGAGATATCGATAGAATCTTCTTAATCCCCCAATTTGTATAAAATAAAATATCTACATATCTTGCCTAAGATTAAATTACGTACCTGCCTAAATGATTATCGGGCAAAATATGAAAATCTTTCATGAGCAAGCTTTGTAAGCAGAGAATTCATAAGCCATCATGAGTTCATTGTTACAAAAGTTGATAAATTAGTGAGTCGCATATCTCCTTGATTTAGTAAATCCAATAAGGGATTTACCGGTGATCTGCCGGATCCCGTGACCCGCCGGACTTACACCGACATTCTGGGAGCGCGCGTTCTACTAGGGGAGTCAAGGAACAAACGTGCTGAACTGTACTCTAGACTGTGTAAAGGCCTTATAGGGACCTCCCTCCGGGCGAAATAAATCCTACCTACCTACCTACCGACATTCTGGATTGGACATTCTGCGGATTCTAAGGATCTCTCTAAAAGCTTGAATTATTACCTCTCTATTGAATCGGAAAAGTTTTGTTGGTGGTTGAGTCTGCAGCATGAGCATGCTAGTGAGTGCGGGGCCTAGGGTTGGGCCGCGCGGCCCCTCATCGTCGCCGACCGGAGGCAGAATCGTGAAACGTAAGCTACTCGATAGGACAGCAAAAGAGTTGAATAAAAGCAGCCGGTATGCGATAAGAGCGATAAGAAAGGAAACCGGTGAAATCGAATGCGCGAGGCTACCGGGAAATAAAAATATTAATAGAAGTTAAGAAGAAGCGGCGGTGATTGAGAAGGTTTAGGAGCTGCTAGACGAGTACTATACGGAGTTCCGAGGATTAAAAGAGGCACTTAGAGAGCAAAATAAGATTATCCGCGAATAGTAAGAGACAATCCGAAAATAGAAAGAGGAAGTAGAAAAGCAAGGAACTATTAGCCGAGAACTTAATATTTATCTAAGAGATATAAAGTAGTAGATAAACGACTAACTTAAGTAGGTCCGAAAGTAACTCGAAGCTATCGTCGCCGGCGTAGCGGTTACCCCGCCTAAAACGTTTGCTAAGGTTACGCGATTATCGCCGTCGCTATAATAAAGCACCGCCTAGTCGCTCTTATCTAGTAATACTATAGAATTTACCGCGAACGAGTTTTTCTATATAATCGATATATCCTAAGTAGAGGAATAGGATAGAGGCCGAGTATAGATAGGCTCGATTTAGTAAGCTATTAAAAATAAGGTTAGAGTAAAGGAAGGTTAAGCGACGTAGAGGTATATAGCGGTTATAAGGAACTCTTAAAATATAAAGTAAGTTAAGGTTATTTATAGAGATAAAGTTAAGCTATAATAAGTTAAGGAAGCTACGTAGAAAATGGTAGTAATTAGAGCTCGAGTAATAAGAGATTAGCTTTACCGGTTAGAGTCGATAATATTAATTATATCGCGATCCTCGATAGAGAAGGCAATATCTTATAAGGTACGGCCGAGGCTCTTAGTGCGGAAAATAATATCTCGATCGGTAAGATTACCTAGCTAAGTAAGAAGGAAATAAGTAAAGTATATAGGTCTATAGTAGTCTACGTAACGAAAAAGACTAATATAAAGAAGCTTTTAGATAGTAAGTACTTTAATCTAGCTAAAGAGTCGGCGTATACTAATTTATTTAAACCCTATAAGGGACCGATATAGTACTTTAACTATTAAGAAATAGGTTATAAAGCCTTTAGATATAAGAAGCCTTAGGTATATAGAAGGTATACCGGTAGGGGTTATTACTATAGGGAGTGCTATATAGTAGAGCCTAAGTACGTTTTATATAGCGGACCGCACGAATCGTTTAGCCGGAACTACTATATACGAAGTATATACTCTAATATATAAGATACTAAGTATTTTATAGCATAATATAGAAAAACGGGAATTAGTATAGTAGAGTTTAATAAATAATAAGGACCTTAAGGATTATAGAGTGC